GACATATCTTAGACTTTTGTATATACAAAGAATATTTTATTTTAAATGAATAAACATGAAAAAAATATTTCTAAAAGAAAATACGACTTTGAAGGTTGGCGGGTCAGAATTGAAAATAATATTTATACAAAATAATTTTCAATTATGTTGTTTCATCCATATATTAAATTTTTTCATAACTAAATCAAAATACATTAGCATAAATATATAATAAAAAGCGATAAATACATGTGATGGTTTTAAATTATTGATTAATTATACCATGTAAATTATAAAATTATTATATTTGACATATGTATATCAACATTTAAATATATGGTTAGTGTTAAAATTGTATGTCACTAATAAACTGAAATAAACATATACGTTTTCAAAACTGAAAAAGAATATCTTCGCGGTTGCGTGGATCAAAATCTAGTGAATTAAATTCCTTGCAAAAAGCCCATATACAAATATTCTAATAAGCTAATTTAGAATTATTGGGTTTTAATGAATAAATTAACATTTAAGTTTGTGATATATTAAATTGTTATGTTGAATTTAGTCATGATAAATACTGTGATTAAATTTAAATATGTTTTTACCGAATCTATAAAATACCACATAAATTTTGTCATAACGTGACTAATCAATCCACGATTATGTTACAACATATTTGTGTAACCAAGAATTCACAAAAATCCACGATTAATATAGCACTAGGTGTTTTGCCCGCACTTGCGGGCATAATTCTCTTATAAATATTTATTAGTTGATAATTCATTAATTTAAAAATTAGCATAGTAAGTTATAATTTATGTTTTCAAAAAATAAAAATCAAACATCAAATAATTATCAATGACAAAACTCAAACATCAGAAATATTTAAAAGAATATATTTCTATAACTATTTCTCTTGATTTATATTTAATTATAATATTTATAACAATATGATACATAAGTTATTTATTTTCTGAAAATGTAGTATGATAATTTTTTTTTAGCTATATATTAATTATATAAGATTATAGAAATTATGACATATAATTAAAATTACCTAAATCATTGAGAACTTAATGAATCAGCAAATTCACTTCTTAAATATTTTTTCTTGAGTGATGATTTATATTTAATTAATAATAGATAATTTTCTATTTTACTTTTAAATTATATAATATAAAAATATATTTTCAAGATAACAACATAATACATAAGAATTACCATATTCTCTAATACGTTATTAGTGTAAAATTATTTCAATTATAGAATAACTACAACTTTTTATATCTTAATTTTAAATTTCAAATAGAAAATATATTTTCAAGACAGTAGCTTAATACATAAGAAGTATTTTATTTTTTAAGAATCTGATACTATAAATATAAATTTGTTTTAAATATATAATAAATTATATATAAAATTATATAAATTAATAAATTATCAAAATTACCTAAGATCATAGAAAATATGACAAATCAGCAAACATCAAATTCACTTCTTAAATAATATTATAGATTTTTTACATGTTAATTTTAAATTTTATAATAGCAAAATATTTTTTTCAAGATAACAGCATAATACATAAGAACTAACTTATTTTCTAAAATATCATATTATTAATATAAATTAGTTTTAATCATATAATCAATAATAAACAAATTATGGAAATTATGATAAATGATCAAAATTACCTAGGATCATGGAGACAAATCAACAAATTCACTTTTCAAAATTTTTTTTGAGGATTTATATTTAATTATGATTTATATCTAATTATCAATATTAAATTATTAATATTAATTCATCTTAATTATATTTAAATATCAAATTATTAATATAAATTCGTTTTAGATAAATATAATAGTGTTTATATCTTAATTTAAAATTTAAGTTTTATATATAACAATATATTTCAAGATAACAACATAATTCACAAGAATTATCTTATTTACTAAAAATATGATATATTAATATAAATTCGTTTTTATTAAATAATAAATTTTATATGAAATTATTTAAATAAGGTAAATAAACAAATTTACCTAAAAGAACATGACAACTTAACAAATTAACTTTTTAAATAATAATATAAATTAAATATTAAATTATTAATATAAATTCTTTTTAGATAAATATAATAGTGTTTATATCTTAATTTAAAATTTAAGTTTTATATATGAAAATATATTTCAAGATAACAACATAATTCACAAGAATTATCTTATTTACTAAAAATATGATATATTAATATAAATTCGTTTTTATTAAATAATAAATTTTTATATGAAATTATTTAAATAAGGTAAATAAACAAATTTANTAATTTAAAATTTAAGTTTTATATATGAAAATATATTTCAAGATAACAACATAATTCACAAGAATTATCTTATTTACTAAAAATATGATATATTAATATAAATTCGTTTTTATTAAATAATAAATTTTTATATGAAATTATTTAAATAAGGTAAATAAACAAATTTACCTAAAATCAAGGAGAACATGACAACTAAGCAAATTTACTTCTTAAATAATAGTATAGAAGATAAGGTAAATAAACAAATTTACCTAAAATCAAGGAGAACATGACAACTAAGCAAATTTACTTCTTAAATAATAGTATAGATGATTAATCTCTCCATGATTATCACACCACAATTCGAGTGACTTTAAGTTACAAAAAAAAAAACAATTCGAGTGACTAAATAGTCATGAATTTGCCATAATAAAAACGTGACTAAGACAGCCACTATTGTTTTCATGCTACAAGACAACTATGTCAAAACCGTGACTATTTGTTCAATGATAAGTTACAAACTTGCAACCAAATTTAGTTACGATCATATAGACATAATTTTTTCGTGTCGATATTAACATATAGCCACAAAATAATTGCATTAGCCATGAAGTTTAATTTATACTAGGTGGTTCTTGTTGACTTAAGCTTGAAGATAAATTAGGTTTGAAGTTATCCTAATAAGATTAGGATTAGGAAGATTTAGAGTTATCTAAAAAGATGTATTTACTATTGAGATTAGGAAATATATGAGCTATATATATAATGAGGGGTCATGAGATGATATATTGTACGTAACTTGAGGAATATAGTTTGAGTTAAGCTATACTACAAGTGAGTTCTTATATACTTTGATCTTGGGGTTTACAATTCAATAGTTCTCCGCCTAATCGTGGATATAAAGATTACATAAAAACATATATTATGTATATAATGTCATAAATTTTGAATAGTAATTAGAAACATTAAAAATATAATTTTTAATTTCAAATAGTTTGACAATTAGTTGTAAAATTTCATAAATTTGATGTAAAAATAACTGATGAATATTTAGTAATAACAAATACTTATGGAATTATATTATGTATGTAATTATCACATTAATTTCTCCATCACGTATTATGCATCTTCTTGGTTTCTTCTTATTTTTCTCTTTACCATTTCGTTCTTTTTATTAAATTTTTGCTAATATTTTTCTAATTGTTTACTTATTTTTTTGCCAAATATTTATTAATCTCTAGATAGTAACACAAAACATACAATCAATGAACCAAAAATCCTTGTAGGGTGTCTGTAAATCTATTTGTGATCTCGTATTCGGCGATGGCTGGAACTAAACCGTGGCAGGAGAGACTGATCTTTATCCCACCATTCTCTAAGTTATTTTTATATGGTAGCACGAACTGGATCAAAAATTGGGATCACTGAGGTGTAAAGATGGCAATGGTAAGTGGATATCATATAGGAATGTGGTTGGTATAAATATTTTCAGGATAGGGTCCAATAGTGGTTTCGTTAATGGGAAAGTGGCTTCACTACATCCTAGTGGTGTGTGTATTCATGGCGATAAAACCATCCAAAACACACAAGACACAACCCAGAGAAGCTGTGAAAGAAGTGATTACATGTTTTATGTATCTTAACCAATTACAACCGAGCTAAAATAGAAAAAAATGAGGTGAATTTGGTAATACCGTTTAGACTAAATGAATTATATTTTTAAGAATCTGCAATATTATAGATATGGCACGGCCTATAAACCAACTAAACCAAATAAACAGATAAATTAAAATATATTAGTAAAGTACGTGTAAATTAATCTAAGACGTTAATTTGATATTTTGGTATTGTTAAAGTAAAATCTTCAATCTAAGGACATTTCTGCTAAAATTTATTTTTTTAGTAATATTATGATATCATTAATTTTCTTTTATGAAATTTATAATAGTTATTTTTTATTTTAATTTCTTAAAAAGTTAAATAAAATAGAAAAGACATTCTGTTTAAAATTTAGAGTACTCAAAATATCATTATGTATTAATAAATCTAATTTTTAATTAATATAAACTAAACTAAACAAAATTTCTAAGAGAAATATAGTTATGCTTTTATGGTATAAAACCGAAAAAAACTAATCAAATCAAAATATATATGATTTAAATATGGTAACTAATTTTTATAGCCAAAATACTAGAAAACTGAAAAAATAAGCCGAAACTGGATTAAAATCCGGATTGAACATCCCTAGGTTTTACTTATCTCGCGGATTAAGCATATCTTCCCATGTAAATAAATCTTCCAGCAAAAACTCTTTAGTCTTTTTTTAACGTAAGTCTAAAAGGTATGGCGTAGATTTAAGTGTGCATATTATGTTTGGGTATTTGGAAAAGCCTCAATACAATTACATCAAAGGATTCTAAAATCGTAGAACCGTCATACATTACATGTGATTTGTTAAAGAGATCAAATTATGACTCGTGTTCTTTTGTCTATTTCCTTATTGATTTTTAAAATTTTACCTATATATTATCGTTTATAACCAATTTTGTTTCATGATTTTCAGTCAGATTTGTTATGGTTCTACATATCAACCTTAGTTACAAAATAACAAATAGAAAAACAATATCTGCAACGTTCCTTTAACAATCAAGAAGAACTTGATCCATACAAGGAAACAAACCAGAATTATATTTTAAAGGCTTTAAAGGAGCAAGTAAATTACTTAAGCTTTTGTGCAAGTGAATTCAACAGTGAGCCTAATATCGTTCTTGCAGTGACTCGGGCCAAACATCTCGTCCGAAATGAAAAGAAGACACGTTTGTTTTCCAAGACAATTCTGCATAAATAATAATACTTAACAATGAGATTTACTAATCCCAAACATATTGCCAATATTCGTCAATCTTTCTAACCTTTTTGACGACCCTCATGGTAGCTGATGCGCCGCAATTGCCGTGTCTAATATCTTTATTATCTTCACAATTACCGGTAGGATTGCCATAATCAGCAAAATTAATCTTTGTAATAATATCTTTAGGTGATTTATCACAAGAAAATGACATCCGATCCCTTCTTTTAACAGGTTCACTTCTACAGTACTTATATTCCGCCTGCTTGCCATGTTGATGACTGGAATTAGAGAGAAAACGTTTCAGGTTACTATCGGTTTTGGCGTCTCTTGCATCACTAGAAATGTCCAGATTTAAAGCTAAATCAAACATAGATGAATAAAATAGAACTAGAAGCAAGATGTAGTAGCCTCCATAACGACAATGTGAAGTATCCATTTTCTTCTGTACTCGTAATCAAAGGTAACAAGAATGTATTTACTACTTAACATATTTATATCGTCTTCTTTTTTTTAAAACTTGGATTAGTTAAGTTTTGGAGAGGAATATTCGTGTGTAGATGTGGCCACGCAAATTTCTCTCAATCTGTAATTCTATTTCTCAATTCTGTTTCTTTTTTCTTGATTTTTGGAAGGGCATTGCTTCAGACTTTTCCACCATTACTTATTAATAGATTAGTATTTTCAGTATAAAAAAAGAAGACGAAATAGTGAAATATTAATCACATTTGTTATACAATCCATCTTAAATTTAAAACATGTATTTAAAGATACTACTAGATTTTGACCCGCGCAACCGCGCGGGTGTTTGTTTTTGTTTATAGTTATATAAACATTTTTGTTTTCACTTGTAAATTGGTATATATTATATAATCACATATTTACGATATGTATAGTAAATGTTTTTCAAACATAATAATATTATATAATAAGTGTTTTAATCAAATAGATTGTTTCAAATTTTCTATATTATACATGACTTTCAAACATGTGTTTGTTTCTTCTTCTATATTTTATTGTTTGTTAGATAAGTATTTCATTTTTAGATAAAGTAATATAAATAGAGTTTGATTAAATATTAGTGTAATTTAATTTGCAAAGATAATATAAACTTCGAAGAAATTTTTGCTAAAAACTAAACTTATAGCTTCATAAATTAATATTATAAAAATTTTATTAAAAATGAATTTTTTAAACAATTTCTTTTTTTTTTAAACAATACAATTTTGAAATTTTACATCGAAATAAATTTATCTAATATATATAACGTGTAAATTTTGTTAAGGTATATAAATATTACATATTAATAATCTGTGATTTTTGTTAATATATTCTGGATGCATTTAACTATTATTGACATATTTCCTTATAAATAATAGAAGATTCCTAAATTTATATATATTGACATATTTTGCGTGACTAAGTTGGAAGGTGTGGGGTAATTTACCAAAACAAAATTGTTAAGCATATTATAAGATATAATAATGATAATATTATTAGAGAGTTAATGTAACATAACTTTCTAGTAATAGTCCATTTTTTAAAAAATCACACATGAAATCAAGTCATGACTTCTGTTTTAATATATAAGATTTTATGAATTTATAAAACCACATTAAAATACATATGTTAAAAGACATATATTAAAATAGAATTTTAATTTTAAAGTACATAACATTATTTTTAACATGAATAATATAATAGAATTTAAGATATAGTTTACTAATCAAGTCTCAATTGTTTAATTTTAACAATTTTGCGTTCATAGTCGAATCTCTAGGGTTCGAAAAAGATTCAATCTTTCAAAACTTTTGTGAACAATGGTTACACGATTTTCTGTGTGCATGTAGTTCATTAAAGAGAAATTGTTCAAGGTAATTGCCACACTCCTTTGACCATTTTTTCATGTTTACTTTAACCGCAATATTTTAGTTTAAGAACCACGTGGTCTAATGGTAGGCGAACTTTGGGATTTGCTAAGAAATCTGGGTTCAAAGGCACTCCACTATATCTTATCTTGTGGCCACGCAGATATGGGTCTATCTTACGATCCATTTGAATACCCAGAGTGAGGGTCTATCTGTGAGCTGCACCACCCCTTTGGGAATTAGTCTAAGCCTCTCCATGGGCTTGGGATTATCCCAAGATTAAAAAAAAAAAAAAAATTGTAGTTTAAGAGATAAACAAACACTTATAATTTTATGATTAATAAACCTACATTTAGAGTTTAGATTTGAGTGGTGGAATTTTGGAAAGTGAAGTTTAGAATTTTTTAAAAATATACAAATAAATATTTAATATTTAGAATAAAAATTTTGAAAATAGTTTCAAAAAAATTAATAAATCAAAAATTTAACAGAAAAACATGTTACAATAGTTTCAGAAAGAATTTTTAAATTTCAAAAAAAGTTACAAAATAACAAAAGTTCAAACTGAAAAAAAATATATTAAAAGTTCGAATTTGAAAACGTATAATTCAAAAACTATGGAAAATATTTATTTAAGTAGTTATATATATCTATAAATCAAGGGTATAAGAATCTTTTGCATTTTTAATAAAGAATGCATTTGTAATGAATCATGAATTCTGGTAAAACAAATAGGTAAACTTGAAATTCTCCCTTCAAATTTGTGTTATAGTAAAAATGTTAAATTTGTAATTAAAATAAATTTTGAATTAATAACTTTTGAATTATTAAAATTTATGATATCCCATTTTGTAAGTAATACATGGACTAAAAGTTAGTAGATACTAATATATTTTGTATATAGTCATTTTTAGATAAGATATTTTGTGACTTTTAAATTAAATAAAAAATAAGATATAGTTGTAGATATAAAGTTGAACATATGCTAACTTTTTGGTACAAAAGTTTATGAATTTTAATCATTTTTAACTGTGCATGATAGTTTGTTTATTTATTTATTTAAATGAAAGCACTGTAAAGTTTTAATTTTCAATTTTATATTTTTTTGTTTAGTTCATATACTTCTATTCTAATATAATATAGTTTATACATCCACAAACTTATAAACCTCATTCATACATCTCATCATATCTTCGATTTTAATATCACATCAACTAACTTTCCTAACGAATCTATCTCATCATCTCATTTTTTCTTAATACATTCTACTTTTCTATACTCCCTCCGTTTCAAAATATAAGTCATTTTAGACTATTTTTTTTGTCACGAATTAAGTGTCGTTTTAAAGGTTCGAGGCGAAATTTATTAGTTTTATATAATATTCTATTTTTCTATTGGTTAAAAAGTGGTTAGGTATATAGATAATTGTGTTTTTATCTTGGAAATATGTAAAATTAAATATTTTCTTAATCTGTGTGCAAAAGCCTAGAATGACAAATAAAGTGAAACGGAGGGAGTATTACTAACACACTGACAAAAAAAAAAAAATATTAACACATACCATAACATATAGTTCACGACATCATCATCATAATACATCTTAGCATGCATTATCGATCCTTGCATAATCATAAGCAACTAACCAATAATATCATGATTGTATGAATGTTCTATAATTATCTAATCTTGTGATGAAACACATTAAATGCATAATAAGCAACGCGTTTTAGCCGTAGCTTTAACTGCGGTGATGTTTTTAGTTCAGCTGATTCCTCACATTGTCTTTTATACTCTTCATATGTAACAATCCTAAGATTTGTATTTGATGTAATTTGCAAGAACCTGAATAAATTTGCTGCAATAGTGAATAGTGATCCAAATTTTGTGTCAAAACCACATACTAAATCCCCTTCTTATTATTTGAGGAGAACTTTTGCAAATAAACCTTTACTTCATGTGTTTATTACATGCATGCCATTTCCTATGTGGCAACTCCACAAGCCTTCTCACACCTTTTAACTAAAAGACCTTAGTTAACTAGAATAATTACACAACATGCCATTGATATAAATATACATATATGACATATATGATATAACAATAAAGACATGCATATACTCGGCATATAGTTAATTAAATTTCCTTATATATTTCCTTATATACGATATATACGATTTCCTTATATACGATACGA